AGCACCACCAACTTGAAAATCTGTATATGATTTATATTTTATTTTTTGTAATCAGGCTTAGATCAGTTTCAACCGTTAATCATAAAAACATTCACTGAAGAAAACTTTCAAGAAAATAAAACATAAATGATTCTAATAATTGTTTATGAACTATAACGTGAAAAAAAAACAGTAACTTAGTGGTTTGGTTTATAAACTTATCAAGTTCCTCTGTTAGATTCTCCTGTTGGGGCTTTTCATGTTTTATATTCGAATTAGTGCAACTTTAACCTATGACTACAAAATACATTCTTTCCACGATGAACAGGCCAAATAAAACTTTTATTTTATTAGAATATTATATTGTAATAAAGGATTATCTCAAGCAGTAACGTTAGGTAAATATATAAGTTGTCATCTGCTAATAATTTAAACACTGTGTTTTAGTAAATTATTTAAGGATATCAGTTAGATGTGTGTAACTGGACCTAACGATTACATTTATTAACATGGGGGTTTTAGTGAAAGATAAATTCATCTAGATGTTATTCAATAAATTATTTAATTTCTATAGTGCATATTAGTGTATAGGAGAACTTTTAATACTAGAAACAAACTATCTTATACACCAACTTGTTGTTTTATTTAATTAGACAATCAACGTTTTGCTTTAAAACTTCTTCAAGAACGTTCCACTAAAACACAAAGCTTTGTACTGTCAATTAAATAAAAAACAACAATTTGGTGTTATAAGTTTGTTTATATTTAGTATTAGTCAATAAACTTCCAAATAGCTTCATGTTTATTGGACTGGACTTACGTAGCGATATTGATAATACAGAATTAATACTAGCAAAATCAAATATGACAAGAGTTAATTCAAGAATAAGTAGAGTGGGGTATATTTGATACGTTGGCTCCCAAGATGGGGTGAATTTGGAATATTAAGGGCTTGATTGTGACTTTCAGATGGTCAAAAAATGGAGTACGTTTCATTGGCAAGTATTTGGGGGAAATTGCTTTATTAAAGGGTGAAATAGCAGATTAGGAGAAGAATTTAAGGAAACAAGAGAATAAGAAACAATATAGGAGTAAATATTGCTTTGAGGGTGGGAGGAATAAAAGTAATAGGTTTACAAGTGTACACAAGAGTTAGGGCTATAAAGGCGGGTTCAGTTAGCATTCACATATCTGTCGCTAATATATTTTAACTTTTGTTTGCTTGTAACAAGAAAGACGATCAATTGGTTTAGATAGTGAGGGAATTTCTCATTAATCATTATCATAAAGTTATTTGTTTTCGAAAGCATAGAAAATCTGGGACTGGAATGTGCTTGCCGATTTAGTTAAAGTACAGGACTGGTAGGATGGAAGATTTACAGAAAATTTAAGGATTTGGTTAGAAAATAAATTGGTAATTCCAAAAGGCTTAAAATAATAAATTGTTATATAATGTTACAATGAATATCAATAATTTCTTTTAAGTGTGTTAAAGGTAAACAAGATGTCAAATAGGAATTAGGTCTTTAAATGATACTCATGGGAAGTTTTTATCGAAGATTATGAAACGGCTGGGCCTTAAAACGTTCCCTTCTGTTTTTGTAAAATAATATTTCTGACCATGAGCATTTTATCGGAAATGGTAGAAATGTTTGTTTGAAGCTACACAATGGGCTATCTTTGCTCTTCCCACCACGAATATCGAAACATACCGTTGTGCCACTGAGGGACTGGTGGAATTGACCTGAGTGTATCAGGTATCAATTCTTGGATGGGTTTGAATAAGAAAACAACTGTAAGAGAAATAATTACACTCCAGTGTTATCAAGATATATTTTCTGTACAACATGCTAAAAATCGGACAAAATTAAAACAGGCAAAAGTGGGTTTCATTTTGGAGGGGCAACGTATTGACGAAATAAATGGACTAGACTTTGCATTAACTTTACCGAAAAATTAAAAAAAAACGCCCAACGATAGAAACTGTTACAACAATACGATAAGACTACCAGTATAATTATAAAAAATATGGTTAATTATGATCAAACAAGAATTTAAGAACTAGGAGAAACAAAAATATTTAACGAATAATTAAATTTAGTCATTCTTATAAGTCTCAAAGCTTTGGAAAATTTAAAACATGATATTAAATATTTCAATAGGTGTTCAAATATTTTCCGAGTCTTAAGAATACTTTTTAGCAATTTCAAAATCATGATATAACACAACGAAGATATAATTTATTATCAATAAAACAATCCATAAAAAATAAAAAGTTACCAGTATGAATAATAAATCACATCTAATATTGTCACATGTAACACATTTTCATTAGTATGCTTAAGCTGAGACAAAAATTAAACTATTATAAAAATCTTAGTTAGACAAAACATAATTGCATATATTCACTATCTTAGTATTTTTTTTTATCTTTCATTCCACAATAGTTGAAATTTCTGTTTCATTCAGAAGCTTTCCAATCATACAAAAACAATATACATGGTACGAAACATCTTTATTTACAAGTGAGATGAATGCCGTGATATTTCATAAAAGAGAATGTAGGCTTCTGGACAGACCACACAATTTGTTGATATATTGGAAACCCTGACGAGAAATAAGGAAAAAGAAACGGAATATAATTAATGTAATAGTAATTTTAAAACTTTTACAGCACTTGCAACATTAGAAAAGTACTGTTGTATAAACTAATCATTTAAAGAATACATAGGAATATTTTTCAGTTTAGAAACAGAAATTAAATAATTCAAAGAATTATCTTCTTTTAAAATTTGAGGAATCGCAGAATGCGTTTACTTTCAAATAAGATCAGTCTTTCCTTTTACTAAAATAAGTACAATAATAATAATAATTCATGAACTATGGACCGAATAAAGTAATAATAATCGTGTAACAAAACTAAATCTCATATAAAATGGTGACGTTCAATTCTAAAACTCCACAACTACCCTGTACGAAAGAGAACCTTTATGTCTCCCAATTTATGTGTTTCTTTCGCATTTGGTATCAGTATACCGAATATATATATATATAGTTTACTATAAGAGTATGAGATGGTTTACATGTTACTCCTTAAAAGCGATTATTGCAGACGATTCACGTTTGATTACACAGAGTTATGAAAGCTTTGAACTTATTATCGGAACCAGTTTAGGAAATATTTTGTCCACGCCAGACCAGTTATTAAACTATAGATCATGCATGATAAAATACCGTTCACGAATGAGCATTGTGTCAATTTACAAATAGCGCCTGAAAAAAAGAAGTTTAAAACATTAATTACATTAAGTTTTATAAACGTACTTACTACTCATTATTACTAGTTCTATCATTCGAATTCTGTTTTCCGAACTGACTCTTTGGTCGGACTCAAATCTTAATGGTGGGTTTTTTAAACAGACTTGTAGTTGAGAGTTTTTAAAATGATAGTCAACTGTTGTCCTAGTCAATGAAAAAAAGACTAAAAAAAGCTTTAATTAAAACTTATGAGCTCATTTCTTTGTTAAAATGTTAAAAAAAAACCTTTCTATAATTGTTGTTCAAATTAATAAATATGCTTGGAAAAGTTTTCATTCAGGAGATGTTGCAGCCTATTTTTACAGCTTAAATATATTTAACCTTTGCGTTTTGTCCGCCTCAGGGATATAATCCAATACTAGCATTAAAAGCTATGAGCCACCAAACTTTTGCGTCTTTGGTCCATTTCTTTTCAATAGCTTTAAAAAATCATCACTAACAGACTGGCATGGAGAAAACATTGAACGTTATTAAACTGCAATACTCATAATTTTAATGCTTTATAGCAATATTTAAAAAAAAACGTGAATACATAAAGCACTGCAAGAGTCTTTCTGGTTCTGATAAAAGTTACTTATATACTGAAAATCCAAGCAGGTAAAGAATTTCTAGCTACAGTAAGTATTGAGTAACAACAACAACAACAAAAAAATTAATTACCAGTGTCCATGTTTTCTGCTTTTATCACTTAATAGGAATTGTAAAAACATTAAACTTTTATATTTTGAAAATGTTTGATATATGCTTAAACTTTACCGAAAGACAACAATTGTAGTATTTTGTTATGGCTTTAACACTAATAAGCTATTACCTTGTTAAAACTATACTGGAATATGATCTAATATTTCACTCCAAGTACTCCTTTAGCACCTAACAAGTAAATCTCCACTAGTACCAGCCTGTTGTGACAGGCGTGAAAAGTAAAGGTACGCTTTTAATAATACTGAACTCCACTTTCTCTGTTAAATATTAGAATCTACTAAATACGTGTTATTTGTTATTTCTTACTTGCTGTCATTAAACTCGTGCCACTCGTCCGAGTATGGATGACGACAGAAAGCAGTATAATGGCCAGAGAAAGTAGATCCACTATGATTGCAAACGGCATATAGATTGTATAAAGCAGAATGAGAGACTGCAAAGAGAACAAAATAAAGTATAACACAAGATTAAACGTAAAAATAAAAAGGAAAAAGCATCACAATGTTTCACAAAATTAATTGAATAAGTTTTAAATCTGGAAAACAAATCTAACATTATTATTTTCTTAAATTATATTCATGTGAGTATGATAAACTTTATTTACGTATAAATATAGTGAAATGTGTGTGTGTATATATATATATATATA